AAAAATTTACACCTTAAAATGGTTTAAAAAATCGATAATAATTTCGATTTTCTTCGGTTTTTCTTCGATCATTACCTGACAAATATATTTTAAGGACGTGTGAGGTTTTCAAGTTGATCGATTCAGCCTTCAAATTTTCGGAGAATATTTTTAAATACATACATACATAAATGTATATTCGATATATTATATATTAGCAAAAAATCAATTTCTTGAAATTCACAAGTGAATATAACCACTTAAGTAAATGCATTTACAAAAAGAGATATGTATATATCGAAGTAAATATTTAAATATATATGAACAAAATTTCATATACATATGTACATACATATATGGTACATATGTATCTGGAAACTTCAGCGCATTTTTTCTCGCAGTCCTACATATTGCTGTTGCCTTCCTCAAACTATATGGCCAGTGCGATTTTTCGTAGTGGTTGTCGCCTGTCGCGTTTCTATATAATCCAACCCCATGGGTGGTATGATTTTAACGCTTTATATGCATATATGTGTTGTAGTTGTACACCCACCAATTTCGGTCCACCACAAAGACAACCTCCAACCCCATAGCCAGCTGAGTACATATACATATTTACGACTTTGCAACTGCGCAGCGACAGCGCAGCGACAGCGCAGCATTATTTCACATTTTTCACCCCTCTGTCATGACTGTCCTGTCTTCTGTGTGTGACTCGTTAGCCGTTTGACTTGCCAGCTTTGTTGTTGCGAGCGCTGGTGTGTTGCGCTACTTGCCACTTGTCACCGCACGCGGCCGGCACTTTTTTGCATACACTGTTTTGTTTTTGTATTTTCTTTGAAATTTGTTTGTAAGCGCAATGTTGCGCAGCTTCCGATGGCGCATGCGCCCAACACTGGCGCTGCGACTGGCGCTATATGTGCTGTGCTTGGCCATCACATCAACCATTATCGCCGACGCAATTGCCAAAAGCTTCATCATCGTGAGTGGTGTTGTAGACAGCGCCACCACCACCACCACCGGGTAGCTGCGCGTATCGAGCATACTCTTCGAACGCTTACGACTTGTGGAATGGCTGAGTTTAGCAGCAGTGGTTCACGATGTGTCGCTGACGGAACACATCATTCTAGGCCTAACCACAGATCGGAAAGGACATCAGCGGCGTGTAGTAGCCAGCTTAGCCAGCCAGCAGCCAGTAGCCAGTAGCCAGCAGCAGCTTCAAACGCGGCCGTGTTATCAACAGCTCAGCTGTGAGAAAGTGCTGGCCGTTCGCTTCAACTCAGTTGTGCTTGCGACCTGCCACGTTACACTTGTCGAAAATGTAACGCTGCGCAAGGAATCAGCGAAAAAAAAAATTACTCGAAATCGAAATTGAGATAAAAAGTTTTTCAAGTTTTACTCTAACGGTTGTGCTCAGCGTTTACACACAGCGAAACGAACACGCGTTTGATACAATTTGTTTATTGTTGTTGTTATTATTAGTATTACGTATTTTAAAATTAACGGTTTTTGCTTTTGAAACAATTTTATTAAATAAAATTCAAACAAGTGCCTTGCGTGCTGCATTTTGGAAGGAATGTAGACGCGAAGAAACACCAAATCGCCTTTAAACATCCAGTGCCTTAGAGACAGACGCAAATGTTTCGGTTTTAACAAAAAAAAAAAATTAACAAATTAAAATAAAATTAAATTAAAAAATTTAACAAAAAAAATTAAAAAAAAAACATTAAATATACGATTTTTTTAAATATTAAAAAACAAATAACGGTAAATATTCGAAAATAATTTTGTTTCGTGTGCCTTAATCGCCGCCATAGCCTTAAAACACACAATCGCTCTTCGAGATTTTGCCGTTACGTGTAACGTGTTTTATTGTCAAGTTTTAAACGTCGTTTTTTCTCAACACATGCGTCACGTTTTTAATATTCGCCCATCGCTTATTGTTACATAAATCTAGTTTTTACCGCAAATGCATACGTTTTAAAAGCTATTGCTGTTGTAATTTTAAAATTGTAATTGTTAAGCATCGTTTGTTGTCGTTATTGCGTTACGAGATTTTAGTTTTTCGGTTCGTTTATTTTCGAAAATAAATTTGTTATACGAAAAATCAACGTTACGACGTGCGTCCGTGTGCGACGTAACGTTGTTGGTGTCACATCACAACGTGCCTCAAACAGTTGTCGGCGATTCGGTCGCGTTGAACGGCCCAGCGCACCCTACGCCGTGGGCCATACGTTCTCCACGAATCGCACGATCGAGCTGCAGTAAACGATTTATAAAATCTTCACACAATTGCCTTGCGTTTTGCCCGATGTGCCTTCACGTTTTTAAAAGTAACAACGAAAACTCAGCAATGAGTTTAAATTGTCCAAAAAGTAAGTAGAGTTGCCAAAAAAATATTTATTTTGAAAAGAAATAAACATTTTTTTAAGTTTCGAACTTTTTTTTGAATAATATTTTTATTTGAAAAATAATTGTCTTAGGAAATTTGATTTTTTCAGTATTGGTTATTTTTTTCTGGGTACTCTTAATATACTTAACACCTAGTGTGATAGCTTAAAACTAGAAAATTTTTGGGATAAAAAAAACAACTACTGTATTAATTGATTTAAAATTTAAAGGGCACATTTAGACATATTTTAAAAATACAAGTTAAAATGTTTAAAAAAAAAAGTTTAATATTTTTCGAGTTACACGCGGTCTCCTAAAAAAACGTCCTCCACCGTTGCAGTGAATCCGGCCTTCCCTGACTTCGACTAGAAGATATTCTCCGTCGATGTATAGAATTTCCACTCTGCATAACTTAACTAAAGTTATAATTTCTAGGAACAACTTTATCGCAGTTCCAGCTCGTCGTCGAAACATTTTTGTATAACTTTCGAACGTGTCAAATTGGCTTTAAAATTATTTCTAGGTTGGAAAACTTTGCATCTAAACAAATATGTTGATATTATGGTAAATTAGGTATTGTAGGGTTATACCTCAGTAATATTTTCCTTCGTTTTCACAGTATCACAAAACCAATTTTGCGCTCTTTTCAAACTAAGCCATAAACTTCTTTACACGTAATAAAGTTGTTCACGTAAGAAGTATTACAATTTTTACTGTCAAAATTCACAAACAGATGTCACTACATTTTAAAAATATAAAAACTTTGGTTTACTAGTTGTCCTAATTGAGTAGATAAGTGATATGGATTATTCAAAAACGTTGACTAGTAATAAATCCAACCCTAATCTGCGCTTGATTCCTTATTGGAGATAAAATAGTATTATTATGACAGCCTGCTTCGGGTGCTGTCATTAATTATGAATATTGTTTTCATATGTATTTTCCATGTAGCAAACCTTATTAGAAAATCATCAAAAAAGTGAGACAATCATTTTTAACGGATGCGGTGCGGTTTAATTAAAAAATATCGGTTATTGATTATCCATCCAAATTAAAACGGCTTTTAAAGTGTATTGAAACGAAAAATATTGAAAATAATGTATTTTTTAAAATATTTTTTCAAGTTAAGTGCGGGAAAATGTTTTTATAATTAAAATACTAGCGATGTTTTAACACAGAACTTATTTCTGACATGAAGTACAAATATAAAAAACTTGAGTTGAGTTGTTCGTCGTTGGTTTAAATCTCAATTTCTACAGCGTATTCAATTTTTTTTCAAAACTCAGTCTTTGACTCGTTTTTGAGGTGCGCCTTAGTCAAGTTCTTAAAAGTGTATCATGTTTTTCACGCTAAAGAAAGACTAAAAAATCCATAAAAAATTTTCAGAAAAGCTCGTGCCTAGTTCACAGGTCTTGAATATTTTTAATAGTTGAGTCAGATTCATGCCAAAACTTGAAAAAAAAACTCTACTATCTCATTTAGTGATAAATCTGAGCGATATGAATAGTCAGCGCGTGATCGGGTTTGGTGCTTAATATCTCATAAACCAACATACTTTCGATCAAATCCTTTACAGCGTAAGTTTCTAGATATGTCAATATTAGACATATGCAAAGAAAAGTTTGTTCAAACCGCGAAGGCACATAGATGACCCATTCTCGTTGCATGGCTAAATAATTTTTTTTTTTTCAACATATAATTTTTTAGTATTCGAGAAACATTCAGTTAGCTGTTAATCAGCGTTTTAATCAATCATTATAAATGCTTTATTTTAAGGTTGAAAAATTACATGGAAAACTTATTGCGTTTAATAAAGCGCTATAAAAAAAAAATTAAAAATTTGATGACACAAAAAATACGGTCTTTAATTAGAACTTACTTTTCCAATATACACATTTTGCAAACATACATAACTATTTAGTGCCAAAACTCTATATTTAGTAATAGAATTACGGTATTGAATTAACTGTATTGTATGTTTACACTTGTTAGCTTTTCCATTAGCGACGCTGTGTGAATTAACGATGATTTCCTATAGAAAAATAGTGAGTGAATTACATTCCGCGTGCCTCAACGCTTTCGACACTACCGACACACATACATACATATCTACATAATTCGGTTTACACATGTACAATTTGGTTTTATGTACTCATTAGAGCGCTTGCTGGGCACTTGATAGGCGCACACCTGCTGCGCAAATTACGAGCGTGCGGAGGCGACAAAATTCCATAGCGCTAGCTGGCTGACTGGCAGTCATTAAAGTGCAAAGTTGGGCTGAGATAATTATTAGCCACAATTTGCCACCCCAAAACCGAATGAAATGAATGCGTATAAAAATGTTTGTGTGTTTGTATGTTTAACTGTCACACTGACAAACAACGGAAGTTGATTTTCGAATTCTTCGCGCTCCCTTGTCATGCTATCCTTCCGTGCAAACAAATCATCCATCCATTTGAAATTAGATCCGCTAGAGTTATGACGGATATCGTTTACAATCACACTAACTTTTATACAAGCATATTCAACATAACAGTGTTTTCTATTAATTATTATGCTATTCGGTGTGTAATCAAGTAGTAAATTTCATTAGTGTCTTGAGGCTTTTGTTTGTTGAAATTGATATTTGGCTGTAAACGAACAATATTATCGGTATGTATTTAGTAAAATTTACGAGAAAGTGTGCATATATGTATTTAATTTTTATTGATTGCGGTTTTGGAGATATATAGATAGTGATACTTATATAATAGTTGGTTCACACGACATTTTTAATTACTTAATTTACTAACGCTCTAGCTTACTTACATCAATATTCGTATTTTGTTTTTAAACAATATTGCCATAAAAATCTTTGTATTATGTGTGTGATTGATTTGAATTTAACAACTAAATGAATTAATCTATTATCTTTTTTCCAATTAGAGACTTTCACTTCTCCACTATATATCGCGAGATTCTCTTGCTTACATCTTTGAGCATAATTTATTTAAGCAAAATATTCTATTAGTCGATTCAATGCAGAGTGCGATTCAAACTTCTCATACTCCTCGATAGATTATTTAAAGCACTGATCAACTATTAAAAGTTGAAGATTTCTTACAACAAGAATGCAAAAAAAATTATATAAAATATTTGTGATGGTTTTGGCATATAAGCGGAACTCTATAACAGTGCTACACAAATTAGTAATTTTGACTTTAATTTTAAAAGTTTTTGTAAGTTCGACATATACAATCCAAAGCAAGTTTACACTTGACTTTTTATACCCTAAACAGTTTGCCACGAAGTTTGTAACACCCAGAAAATAATGTCGGAGACCCTATAAAATATATACATAAATGATCAGCATGTTGAGCTGAGTTGATTTAGTCATGTCCGTCTGTCTGTCCGTCCGTCTGTCCATCCGTCTGTCTGTATATATGCAAACTAGTCCCTCAGTTTTTAAGCTATCGATCTGCAATTTTGCACCTGTCCTTTTCTAACTAAGAAGCTTGATTTTGATCGGTCTGTTTGTATGGCACCTATATGTTATCGTGGGCCGATCTGAACAATATAAATGGAGATTGTGTCTTTGCCTGGCACAATAATCTATGTCAAATTTCGCGAAGATATATTGTCAAATAAAAAAGTTTTTCATAAAAGAACTTGATTTTGATCGGCAGCTAAATGCTATAGTGGACTGATATTAGCGGTTCCGATGACGTCGTCTTTTATAACAACTAATATAACAGTTCTACATGTTAACTAGTCGATAGTGTTCAATTTAGAAACAGCTTTCGTATAGACTATTCGCTAAAGAATTCATGATCAGTAATTTTGATAAGATTACCTGTGTTGTTTTAGTATATATATTGAGTTAGGGGTCGCTTTAGATAACGCTTTGATATTATTCTTTACTTCTCTCCTCACTTAAGTAATATTATTATTAAATAAGTTTTAAAATTTTTTCGAAAAATCTGCTAATTTTAACATAACTCTCCACAGTAACCGAAAATAAGGTTGCATCTCGTTGCTTTGCGCACAAGCTTTGCACATGCGCCTACCACACGGAACAGTTAACTCCAACGCATACATTGCCGCATGCCCATTAGTCGCCTACCACATGTGGAAGCTATCACACAGTTCTAACAGCACCTAAACAGCTGTAAAAGTAATTTTTCAATTCTACTTGGCGCTGTTAAAATCTCTACAAACTCTACAAGGGTGGTTTGTTTCATTACCATACCGTTTTCGTTCCGTAAAATGAAAAGCTGTATGCATTACCAGAATATATATATATGTGTGTGTAGAATATGCCGCTATGGCAGTGGAAAAACGCGCACAAGCATTAAAACGCAGCGTGTGCCACTTTTGTACGCGTTTATTGTGCCAGTTTGCAGCGACAATCGAGCGCACAGCATCCATCCCCCAGAAATGTTGTGAACCGCAGAGAATCGAATCAAGCCGCTTTTGTATGCATGTATATGTGTGTGTACATGTAATTGTGTGAGTCGTCTTCCAGGAGATGAAGGAGCACACAGATTTTAGCTTTTTGCGCTGCGCGTGATTTTCAGTTGTTGTGTGGAATTGGTGGCAAAAGGTCGTGAGACGACGGCGCGCTGGTGTGGAAAAATAAAAAAAATATTAAGTTTTTTTTGCTGAAATTTAATAAGTGTTTAATTTGATGTGCTATTGAGCACATATTTGTGGCATATTGGAGAAAGTGGGAGTGGCAGGCAGCGCGTCTACTGTGTGACAAAAGCCTCATACAAAAGCAACTGCGTGGCATATCTCGGCGTTGATAACCTCAAAATGCTTACGAAAAACGCAAAAAGTAAATGAAAATCTGAAAATATCTCAATTAATTTAATTAGCCGTCATTTCTAACGAATTATTTGTGTAATTTCGAATTATAGTATTAGTGTAGAGCTCGGTGAAATGCTGAAGTTATTTAAAAAGTTGGTGTGAAAATTCAGCTTTTTTCTGTGCATAAATGTGTGTCTTTTGTGTATATAGCAGACATATATATGTATGTATGTATGTAGATACATACAGACAGTGGGTAGCAGCGTATAATCACTTTTCTCCGCCATCCCTTTTTAATTCAAATGACCGAAGAATATCGATTTTGTTTTATGCTTTTCATTCTTTCAATCTCGTTTTGGTGTAATTTGTGTGCTTTCTACAATATTTCACATGGACTTGGCTGACAAAAAACCATGAACCATAAAGCCCGCACAGTCTGGGCTGGGTCAGAACACAAAAAAAAAAAAAAAAAAAAGACGCAGTCTTTTTATTAAAAGACATACAAACATTAGTACAAAAAATAAATTGCTTGCTATGCTGCGCTTTTTTCTCAGCTTTTTGCTTTTACGCATACATACATAAAATAAATATGTATACACATGTACACACATCAATATCTACCTATATACCTATGTTATATTATATATACATACATTTTTATGTTATCAGCGTTTATTTTTAACAGTCCACTGTTAAATATCCTTTTAATTACACACTTTATCAGCATACACACATACACAAATACAACACTACAGACCTACAATATATTGACAAGGTGTGCCCCAGTGGCAAAGTGATGCTTGCAGTGTTTGTTTGTGTTTTCTTCGCTTCCTGCCTTGCTATTGAGCAGTTTCGTTTCCAGCTTGAACCGGAAAAAAGTATCGAATTAGAAAATAGGCAAGCATTTAAAGCAGACTGCATCTGTATGCATCATACATATAAACAAGAAAAAACGTCAACTTCGGTTGCACCGAATGTAGAATAGCTTTGCAAATAAAAAAGTTTCCATACAAGAAATTGCATTTTGATTGGTCTGTTTGTATGGCAGCTGTATGCTATAGTGGTTCGATCCGAACAGTATATTCGGAGATTGTACCGTTGCCTTGAGCAAAAATCCATACAGAATTTCATCAGCATATCTCGTCAAATAAACAAGTTTTCCTTACATGAACTTAATTCTGATCGTTCAGTTTGTATGACAGTTATATGCTATTGTGCTCCGATATCGACGTTTCCAACAGATGAGCTGCTTGGGAAGAAAAGGAGGGTGCAAAATTTCAGATCGATATCTCAGAAACTGAGGAACTTGTTCGGGCATATATAGATATACAGACGGACAGACAGACGACATGGCTAAATCGCCCCAGCTCGTCACGCCAATCATTTATGTACATATATATATATATATCTTTATAGGGTCAGTGAGAAGAAATTCTGGGTGTTGCACTTCGTAGCAAACTTAATATACCCTATTCAGGTTATAACAAAATACATACAAACATACTTGAAAACATAGAAACAAACCTAAATTCATACAAACACAGCAACTAAGCGTATTCGTGAGGGTTGTCTAATGCCCAGTGCATAGATAACAAACTGTGAAAGCAAATTTTAAACGTAAGCGCATTGCGGTAAAATATACATTTACCGTAAGTCAAAGTAAACGGAAGCGGCTGTAAGAGGGGTTGTTGTTGCTGGCATTTTGCCAATTATGCGTACTGTGAAGAAGCTTCAAAGAAAATATTGACAAAAGATACACACAGATGGACATAAATGACAGCCAGTTCACAAATACTAAAAGTATTCAAAAGTATTGTAGAGTTTACAAAATAACCTATAATTTCAAAAAAAAAAAAATAGACTACAAAAAAATTAAAATAGAATGTTTCCAATAATACTCGCCATCACACATTTACCACCTTTTAATGTATTTACATATCTACATTAGATAAATATTAATATGTATGCGTTTACGATGTAAAAGATATGAATACCGCAAAAAGGTGGAGGGTTTCTTCTATCCAAAAAAAACCAAAAAAAAAAATATTAGAAAAGAAAACCCTTGCTTTTGCCTTGCCTGCCTTCTTCTCTCTTGCTTTGATTGCATTCCGGGTATTTAGGGTTGATTCTGTGCCATCAATCTAATGTGATTTTTCCATTGTCAAATATTCACTTCTCTAGCATTTCAAAGCAGTAATTAAGCACGCATAAAGTAACGTCTTAAACATGTTGGCGTTGAAAGTGATGTCTGATAATAAGGTCTGGCATTGATAATTTTGAAGTAATATTGTATATTTTGTATATACTAGTTTTATTAGAAATTCCAAAAGCCGGTTATTCATTCGGGGTATACGTAGACCCAGAAAAAATGCGAATAACTGTAAATAAAAAGAATCCGACTATTTATATGATAAGGTAATTATGAATACTCTCAAAACCGAGTGTTAAACGCAATCCAGATTAATATTGGGTTTTGCAAGTATTCGTATTTATGAAGATCATATTAATATTCATATTTATGGTATAGTAATTCGTTTTTATATTGGTTCTGAAATATTTTTCTAAAAAGCGGGTTAATATGTATTTTTATTTACAGTTTACTTAAACATCTTTTATTTCTAAATGTTTTCGAACAAAGTATCTTTGCATACAGCAGTATAGTCCAAATGCATGGCAACACTGTTGAAAATTGGGAAAATTTTTGTGTTGTTAATGAAGTAACAATTAATATTAGATATTCGGTTATGCAACTACAATATTAAACTCTGATACTCGAATAATAGCTTTCTTTCTTTTAGTTCTGCCTATATTGAAATATTTTGTTTTCTCAAAAAAGAAAAGGCGAATGAAGTTTTCGGTTCTATTGTTTTTATTTAATGGCTCAACCTTGAAAATACTATTTTTTTTTTAAACAAATGGAATGAAAATTTATAAAAGAATTAATAAATACCGATATAATTTTATATTACATAGGTAGATAGATTAATTTTGAGGTCCTAGTATTAGAACTACTTTTTTCTTATAACCAATATTTTTTATCAATAGTAATTCCATTTGATAAACAGAGCGTTCGCAAGTCTCCAACTGTTTCACGTACAAGTATTTCATGCGAAAAACAACGTTCTTAACAAAAAGCTTTTTTTTTGCATGTTAGAATAACGTTTCTCGACTAGGGAAAACTATAATTCTCAACTTGGACTCAATTGTGTTTCAACATTTGGTCTTAAATTTGAAAAAATACTCTCATTAAAATGGGTAATTTTATTTTTTATAATCTACAATACAGCGCTGATTATATGGATTATGGTATATACATATGTATAATTTACTTTACAAATATAGTTCCGGACTTTAGCTTGGCTTCAGTGAAAAGAACTTCTTTAACAAACACTTCAAAACAATTTTCTTCGCCATGTATTCGATTTCACTAAGATAAAATTTAATTATTCTACATATGTATTGTATTCATATGTATTCATGATTTAACGTTAGAATTTGTTGACACAGTGGATCTTAGTCGATAGCTTTTTAAAGTTCCACTTTTTTTTTTGCATAAAACATAAGAATCTTAGTACAAATACTAATACTAGAATATAAAACATTTTTTAAATTAAAAACGACTCCAAACTAACCTCTAAAGATTCCACATTAGACGAAACAATTGAAAAATTAGTTTGGCATTTAATTTGTATTCATTAAAAAATTGAGTAGAAATTTTACTCCAGCTAGCAGGTGGTCTAAGCTATTTAGCATTACTCATGTACCTATACTTAAGAACATATTTCCAAGTAATTTTATAAAAATAATTCAGGCACTGACCAACATATTCGACATAATGAGAGTTGGAGAAACTTGTGGCCCAATTTCACAAATTTTCGGAATTAAGCTGTAGTAAAACCATTATTGAACGTTAAAACATGCTATATATTAACGCTATAAACTCAACCGGAAGTTCGTAAATCTTAATATTAAGCATGTATAGGCTAGGGAAAGTTTCGACGTATTTTTACACATTTTTGACACACGGGCATACTAATATCAGGAAAAGATTCTCTCCGAATTTCAAAAATTTATCTCTAGAGTTTTACCAATATTTTCGGTAAAAAATCAGTTATAGTCACTGAACCCTACATATTCGGTATCTGGGGACTTGAACAGTTGTGTTCCGATTTCGACAATTTTTGGATGCACCCTGAGGTACTATTTACCTGCTACGTAACTACGTAAAGAACTAATTTTTGCATCCGATAAAAATTGATAAAAATAAATTTTGTAATATTAATAAATCATAATTTTTTTAAACACGCCATTCGAAATAATTATTTTAAAAAATTTTCTCCTAATTGGTGCGTTTACATGTAAGTGTAATTATGATATAAGATAGAGAATCGAACTCTTAAGCTGCGAATCGAAGTATGTGACTAGTCAGTTAGAGAATAACAAGTGTATTTCACTGCTGGGAATAAATATGATATTACATAATATATATTTTTACATACTCGTTTTTATGTTAGTACATGCCTGCTTGCGCATCACATTAAAATCAATCAAAAAACCAATACTAATGCTAGCCGAATTTCTCTTGCTCTTCTCTTACGCAGTGCCTTTTAAAACTAAGTCTATAATTTTATTATCGAAAAACGCAAAAATCAACAAAATCAACAATAAGAACAACATAGTTAGTCGATATCTGCATCACAACTACACGCACCGAAGAAAGAGCGACGTCAAAACGAACAACGACAAGTGTCAAAATGTCAACACTATCGTTACGTATACAGTTGGAGGGTGGCCGTGTCACAAAGACCATACAATTCCATCCCAACACGACAGTATTTGATGCCTGTAAAATTATACGGGATAAGTTTGCCGAAGCTGTGCAGGGACAACGTAAGTATAAGCAAACAATAACGGTGGTGCACAGAGATACTTATGTACATGCATACATGCACATATATGTGTATATGCATGGTTATATAAGGCATTTATTGTATATAGTGTAAACATATACGACATATATGTATGTTTGTATGCCAACCCACGCACTTTGCTCGATTCCCTGTCTATCACATTTTCTCTTGGATCATCACACATTTTGCTTTGCTTTTTATTTTTTTTTTCCCACCCAAAGCCAGCGAATATGGTCTATTTATATCGGATGAGCAACATCAACAGGGCGTTTGGCTGGAAGCCGGCCGTACGCTCGGCTATTATATACTCCACAATCAGGACACGCTGGAATATAGACGTAAGCTACGTACGTTGCGTGTGCGTATGTTGGACGGTGCCGTGAAGACCATACTTGTCGATGACTCCCAACCGGTGTCGCAATTAATGGTGGTCATTTGCACGAAAATCGGCATCACCAATCACGAGGAGTATGGACTGGTGCGCGAGGATAATGAGGCGCAGAATGAGAGCCTGCCGGATAATAAGTTTGGCACGTTGACGTTGCGTCGGAAATTCACCGAAAAGGATCGTGATGCAAAGATGGAAAGTTTGCGCCGGAAGCTGAAAACCGATGATGAAAGTAAGTGACATTAATTATACAAAAGTATGTGTATATGTATATTGTATACTTGCAGTCAATTGGGTGGATGTCGGTAAGACGCTGCGCGAACAAGGCATCGATGAATCGGAAACGGTTTTGTTGCGTCGTCGCTTCTTCTTCTCGGATCAAAATATTGACTCACGTGATCCGGTGCAATTGAATTTGTTGTACGTGCAGGCGCGTGACGCCATACTCGATGGCACACATCCCGTTACACAGGATAAAGGTACGTGTTATTATTGGCTGCTGTGAATACACAGCATAAATGTTGTTCTTGTTATTCTTATACTTGTTTATTTATACAAAAAGCTTGTGAATTCGCTGGCATACAAGTGCACATACAATTCGGCCCACACAACGAAGCCAAGCATAAGCCCGGATTTTTAGAGTAAGTCTATTTACCTATAAGTGCTCGCCACACACAAGTATTTACATATATACATCTTACTCCTCACACACACCCACACAGCTTAAAGGATTTCCTGCCGCAATCCTACGTACGTGTGAAGAACATTGAAAAGAAAATATTTGCGGAGCACAAAAAACACGTTGCTCTGACGGAAATCGACGCTAAAGTCTTATATACGAAAACGGCACGTGAGCTGCCTACCTACGGTGTGACATTCTTCTTGGTGAAGGAGAAGATGAACGGACGCAATAAGTTGGTGCCACGCTTGTTGGGCGTGACCAAAGATTCCGTATTGCGTTTGGATGAGCGCACCAAGGAGATTCTAGTATCGTGGCCCTTAACGACGGTGCGTCGTTGGGGCGCTTCACCGAATACCTTTACATTGGATTTCGGTGATTATGCCAATCAATATTACTCGGTGCAAACAACCGAGGCGGAGCAAATTGTACAGCTAATCGCTGGTTATATTGATATTATACTGAAGAAGAAACAAACCAAAGATCATTTTGGTATTGAGGGAGATGAAGGCTCTACCATGGTGGAGGAGTCAGTTGCGCCCTCAAAGTAAGCATTGAAAAGTGTTAGTGTGAAGATTATGTCTAATTGCATTTATTTCTATTTGCAGAGCAACATTCTTGCAACATGAAACAAATAAAATTGGTAAAATCAATACCGAGTCACTGGCGCACCCCGAAATACTGCGTGCATCCGATGGTGAGTTGTTATTTCGATGTAAATTTTGCGCTTTAAGCTTTTTCTATGGTTTTTGACAACAAATTTCGTTGTTTTTTAAATTTTTGTACATACTTTTTAAAAATATATATTGCTTTTTAATTTTATATAATTTTTAAAATGTTTTAAATATATTTTTTTTTTGTACATATTTTCGCACTATTTGCCTAAAAATCTACGCATTGCACAAATTACTTTAAAAAAATGTGAAAACAAAAAGGCGAGCGCAAGTACACGCAAGGTGAAATACAATCAGTGCAGTATGGCGCATACGTGGGGCAAGTTAACCACGCCCATCAACCGCCAACGGTGAGTGCAAATAAATTTTCTTTAAAATACATAATTATTTAAATTTTTTTTATTTTTGTTTTATTTTGCATTGTCATTTTATTCTCTTTTGCCATGAGCTTTGTGTATGCCTCTCGTATATTCGTATATATATATATAGAAACATAACCTAAATTAGCAACAATAAAATTCTAATTTAAATTCATTCATTCAATTCATGCTGCATACACACAAAAGGTCAATGCGAAAATATGCATAAAGTAGGTTAACAAGTGTAAAATTATATAAATTTTGCTAACATATTTTTCTAACTGACACATTCTACAAATAAAAAACTATCTTTATAGACGAAGGAGGTGCGCATAAGCACTGTGAACCTAACCGAACCGCAACGCGCGCTACTCGGCTACATCTCGGCGGGTCAAGATGTCTTGCTGCGCGCTGATGAAGAGCTTAGAACGAAGGTATGTAACAGTAAAGCGCTTAAAAAACGTACGCTCCAACAACTAGTACACACCAAAATCCCGCTTGCTACTTTTAGGCGCCAATACAGGAGCTCGGCACCGATTTGCGTTCGATCGAATGGCGTGAGAACACTTTGGACACTTCGAAACAGGCGGTGACCAGTCATGTGGCCACCATGAATGCAGCTACTGCACAAATTATAACCGCCTCACAGTTTGATGAGGTCGATACGGAGGCTATCTCCGCGTCGGTTTCACAAATAACACAAACCATACCAGAAGTAACGAAGGAGGTGCGTCTAATCGCCGCGCTCATGGAGGATAGCAACAATGGTGATCGTTTGTTGGATGCCGCGCGTAATTTATGCAATGCGTTCAGCGATTTGTTAAAGGCCGCCGAGCCGGAGAGCAAAGAACCTTCCCAGAATCTCATTAATGCCGCTAGTCGTGTGGGTGAAGCTACGACGCATGTGCTCAGCACCATTGCTGAAGAGGAAACGCCTGAAAATAGTGATTTGCATGATCTGCTTTTGACTTTGGCCAAGGCCGTTGCGAATACCACCGCCGCTTTGATGTTGCGCGCTAAGGCGATTGCTGCCAGCTGTGAGGATGAGGAGTCACGCAATCGCGTTATTGGCGCGGCGAGTCAATGCGCCTTGGCGACTAGTCAGCTCGTAGCTTGCGCTAAGGTTGTTGCGCCAACGTTGCATAATGCCGCTTGTCGTGAACAATTGGAGGCGGCGGCACGTAATGTAGCGCGTGCTGTTAATAATTTGTGTGAGGTGTGCAACGATGCTACCAACGATCCGAAACTGAAGAATGATCTGCTCGCCGCTGCACGTGATGTGTCGAAGAGTTTGAGTGATATGTTGGATCATGTCAAGTTGAGTTCGCGCGAATATGCTAGTCGCACCAGTCAAGAGATGAGTCCGGTGGAGAATGTGATTATCGGCACGGACATATTGGTGGCTTCCAACGATCCACAGGAAATGGTACGCCATGCCAAAACTCTCGGACAAGCCACCGCTCAATTGATACAAAGCATCAAAGGCGAGGCAGATCAACAAAAGGATGAAGATATGCAACGTCGTTTGCTTTCGGCTGCCAAGCAGTTGGCTGACGCTACAGCAAAACTCGTCGAAGCAGCGCGCCTCTGCTCGGGTAATCCGCAAAACGCCGAAAATCAAAATGCTTTGCGTCGTGCAGCCGAGGAGTTGCGTGAAATCACCACCACCACTGCCAACACGCCGGCCATGAAACGTAATCTAATCCATCGTCTCGAATACTGCTCCAAACAGGCTGCCTCGGCCGCTACACAATGCATTTCGGCGGCGCAGAATGCCGTACAGCATAGTGATGACCATCAAACTAAAGAGCAATTGTTACAAGACTGCAAACGCGCGGCCGACACCATACCACGTCTGGTGACCTCGGTGAAGACTACACGTTCCAATCCTGATGATCCCAATGCACAGCTCAATCTAATCGAAGCCGCTGAGCAATTTATCGAGCCAGCCATACAGGTATCGCGTTCCGCACGCGCGCTACAACCCACCGTTACAGACATACCCTCAGCAACACAGCTCTCGAAGAGCGCACTTTATCTGGGCCAAACCGTGTCCGAATTGAATTCGGCCGCCCAGCGCGCACGTGAAGCTTGCGGCGGTCAAGAGTTGGAATCTGCTTTGGAGGCAGTGCGCAACCTGCACAACGTGTTGGACGACACGCGTAAGGCTGCGCAATCGGGCAGCATTCGTCCATTGCCAGGCGAGACGGTCGAAAACACAGCACAACAGTTGCGCATATCCGCCAAAAATGTGGGTCTTGCGCTCCGACAGTTACTCTCATCGGTTATACAAGAACAACGTCGTTACGCGGGTGTGGCCGGACGTGATACTGCCTTAGCGCTCGGTGATTTTACCAAGAGTGTACATGGCGTCGCGGCCACAACAAAGAATCCGGTTGTCATAGATTGCGCCGATGATGTGGTATTACACTCGGCGCGCCTTATCGAAGAAGCACAACGCACGCTGCAAAATGTTGGCAACACGGATGCGCTAACAAAGGCTGGACGTGATGTGACCGCTGCGCTTTCGAAGACCGTCGATTGCATACCTGGTCAGCGTGAAGTGGATATCGCTTTGCGTAATGTGAGCGAATTAAGTGAAATACTCTCGATGAATGAATTTCCACCGTCTGAACGTAACTACAACACATTGCAGTCGGAGTTGAAGCAAGTCGCCGAGGGTCTCAGCGCGGCTAGCGGTCAAATTGTGCAGGCGTATGATAGTCCCGCGCAATTAGCCGATACTAGTCAAAACTTTGCCACCAACTATCGCGATCTACTCGCTGTTTCCATGGAGATGGTCGGTCAAACGTCCGATGAGCTCGTACGTTCGGAAATGATTGACCGTTTGCGCAATGTCTCAACACAATCGTGTTCATTACTATCCGCCGCCAAGTCTATTGCCGCCGATCCAGGTCAACCGAATGCCAAGAATTTGCTGCATGCCGCAGCTCGCAGTGTCATCGAAAGTATAAACAAACTCGTCGACGCCAGCATACAATCTGCGCCAGGACAAAAGGAATGCGACAATGCCATACGTAACATTGAAGGACTGCGCGTTATGCTCGACTATCCACATGAGCCCATCAACGAACAAGGCTACTTCGAATGCGTCGAGAATGCGACTGGTAAGTCGCGCAATTTGGGCTACGCCATTTCCGAGATGATTAACAATGCCAAACAATCGAATCACGTCGGTTTTGGGCAATCGGTAAATACCGTGGGAGAGTCCATACACAGCTTGATCGAGTCATCTGCACAGGCAGCTTACTTGATAGGAGTATCGCATCCGAGCAGCGTCGCCGGGCGTCCGGGTATCATTGATCAGGCTCAACTGAGCTGGGCATATCAAGGCATACGTCAGCATTGCGAGATTGTGAGTAGCGCCAAGGCCACGAAGCAGCAAAAAATATCGGCGCTAACGGTAATCGCCAAACATACCAGTTATTTGTGCTCTATATGCCGACAGGCCAGCATGAACACCAATAATCCTGTGGCGAAGAATGAATTCATTGTCTTGGCCAAACAAGTTGCCACAGCCACCTCAAACTTGGTACAGGAGATAAAGAGTATTGAGGACGAGCCATCCACACCAACGCGCGCACGCCTCGTAGAACCGCTATTGGAGTCTGTCAAAGCAGTACGTCAATATGCTTCCAGTCCAGAATTTATTTCGGTACCAGCAAAAATCTCCGCGGAAGGTCGTAAGGCGCAAGAACCTGTAATCAATGCTGGACGCGGTGTTATCGACGGTGTCATCGAAATGGTGAAGGCCGCCAAATCATTGGCGCTCTCACCGGATGATCCACCAGTATGGCAGCAACTTTCCAATGCCTCAGCGCCCGTCTCCGAATCCGTGAAACGCTTAGTGGACAACATACGCGAGAAAGCGCCGGGTCAAGCACAATGCGAACAGGTGTTGCATACGCTGAATACGTGCACACGTGAGTTGGATAGCTGTGCCATGGCTGTGAGCGCGCAGGGTTTGAGTCAGCGCCGTGATAATAATCTACATGGTTTCAGTGGTCAAACATTGAATTCCGCAGCTGAGTTAATTGACAAGCTTGAACCAATACGCATGGCGGGCAAGAACAATGCCGAGCAATTGGGACACGCCGTCGGCGAGATTTCACGCTACATTGTGCCCATGGTGAATGGCGCCATCGGCGCTTGTACGCACATCGTGCACACCAACCAACAAATGAGCTTGATCAACCAAACGAAATCGGTGGTGGAGAGCGCTGTAACGCTAGTGCAAGCCGCCAAGGACTCGGCTGGCAATCCACGCTCCACACATGCACACACACACCTGGATGAATCGATCGATTACACGCGTCAAGCGATACAAGAGCTAACGGAAACGGTTGAAAAGATCAACGCGGAAATGGGTGTCGTAACCGGCCTCATGGAGCAAGTGAATCGTGCCATTACACGCTTGACAGACAAACGTCAATCGTTGCTTAATGCCTCCTACTCCGACTCATTCGTTGACTATCAAACACGCATGGTGCAATCGGCGAAGGAAATCGCACGTCTCGCGAATGAGATGAACGCTAAGGCGACCATCGAACCGCAGCTGTTGCCACAACTCGCCTTAGCAATGACACAGCACTATACGCAGTTGACGCAGGATTCGGTGGGCGCATCCACAACAACATCCACACCGGATGTAGCTATGCGCATACGTTCGAGTGTAGTGGATTTGGGTCGCTCGGTGAGCTCCATGATACAATCAGGCGCAACTGGCGCGCGTCCCAACGACGCGTCGAGCCAAGGTGAAATCGCACGCAATGCGCGTGACGTATCCGAAAAAGTGGCTCAGGTTCTGGCTGCGCTACAGGCTGGTTCACGTGGGACGCAGGCCTGCATTAATGCTGCACACACTGTATCTGGCATTATTGGCGATCTTGACACCACCATCATGTTTGCCACTGCAGGCACTTTGCATTCGGACGGTGACGGCTCATTTGCCGATCATCGCGAACATATACTACAAACCGCCAAGGCTTTGGTCGAGGACACAAAAGTACTGGTCACCGGCGCTGCGGGCACACAAGAGGAATTGGCGAACGCTGCACAGAACGCCGTCTCAACTATACGTAAGTGTGGCTTTAAAAATATTATTTTCTAGTTAAATTCATTGCTATTTGCTCTCTGTAGTACAACTTTCGGAAGCTGTTAAGCGTGGCGCTTGTAGTCTAGGCTCTACTCAGCCCGATTCGCAAGTTATGGTTATCAATGCCGTTAAGGATGTCGCCTCTGCCTTGGGTGATCTGATTAATGCCACCAAATTGGCCTCAGGCAAGCCCATACACGATCCATCGATGCAAGATTTGAAGGAGAGCGCTAGGGTAAGTAGTGTTGCCATACTTTAATTTTTTTTTTTTACTTTTCAAATTTATTTTTTTTTACTATTTTCACACACTGGTATTGAATTATCGTTTCAATAATTTAATTCTTCAGTCAGATTTCAATGCTTTCGTTGTTGTGGTGCTTTTAATTTTATTATCTCTTTCATTAATACTTAAATTTGTTTTTGATATTTTTTTTTCTCAAAAAGTCAGCTTTCTAACTGTAATATTTTTCAAATAATATTTTTGTTGTAAAAACACCAATTTTCCTATCATGGAGTCAATATTCGCGTTTAACTTTCACCAAAGAAATTGCATTTGCTACGTTTTCTAACAGAATAATATAGAGATACATTTAAATCTAGTTATCTATTTATTCATATTTAAGTAATTATTTGTTTTTGTGGTACTTTGGACTATTTCATTTTAATTTAATTGCATGTGTCATTAAAATTTCATATTCCCTAACATCGGTTAGAGTTCAGACGTTTTTTTTACGGAAAAATAGGTTAAGAAGTAATTTCTGGTTTTATTAGAGGGCGCGCTGAAAAGTAGGCAACAAAATATAAAATTGAACGTGCTATTTAAATTTTTTTCCACGAAGTTTCAGATTTTGACAAATTATTTACAAATTCTGATATCTCAGCAATATTATTTTAGATTTTCTCTGTTTGGTGTTTTGGTTTAATAATAGAATAGTAATATTTATTTTAGGTATTAAGTGTATCGAATGAGACGAGTACAAGTAGTTGCGCGTTCTAAAGCGCTTGATTTAGCGATGTCTGTTTGTCCCACAATTACAGCATATATAGCCATACAAATTGAACGATTAAAGTCAAGTTTTTCTATGGAAAGCTTTTTTATTTTACAAGATATCTTTAGGAATTTTCGCATAGAATATTATCCTAGGTAACGCTATAGTCTCCAAATAATTTTTTTTAGATCGGATCACTATAGCATATAGCTACCATATAAACTGTCCGATCAAAAACATATATTTGTATTGAAACTTTTATATATATGTGAAGGATATTCAAGCTTCGGTGCAACCAAAGCTCACGATCTTTTCTTGCTTTTTTTTATACTCTCGCAACCTGTTGCTACAGAGTATAATAGTTTTGTAATCGAGTTAGATATAGAGTTATATACATATAAATGACCAGGATGAAGAGACGAGTTGAAATCCGGGTGATTGTCTGTCCGTCCGTCCACCTGTCCGTCCGTCCGTGCAAGCAGTAACTTGAGTAAAAATTAAGATATCTTTATGACACTTGATACACATGTTTCTAGGTACCGTAAGATGGTTGGTATTGCAGATGCGCGTAATCGGACCACTGCCACGCCCACAAAACGCCATTAATCAAAAACAAATAAATTGCCATAACTAAGCTCCGCAATAAGATACAAGACTGTTATTTGGTATACAGGATCAAATTAGGGAGGGGCGTCTGCACATAAATTTTGTTTAAAAGTGGGCGTGGTCCCGCCTCCTATTAGAATTAATGTGCTTATCTCCTAAACTGCTAAAGCTATAATAATAAAATTCACTGAGAACAAATGTTTTTAGCACTTCTATCGACAGTGTGCAAATGGGTGACAACCCCGCCCACTTGCCATAAATCGGTACTGTTAAAAACTACTAAAAGCGCGATAAGCGCTGTACACGCCAGATACAATAAATTTTATCTCTAGGGTGGTATGAGATGACTTTATAGGAACCGATTTCAAAATTAGACAGTGGGCGTGGCACAGCCCACTTTTAGGTGAAAACCCATATCTTGGTATCTGCTTAACCGATTTCAACCAAATTCGGTACATAATATTCTTCTCATATTTCTATGTACGAAAATGGGCGAAATCGGATTACAACCACGCCTATTTCCCATATAACATCATTTGAAATTCCATCTGATTTTTTCACTTTCCAGTATGCAAATCAAGCAACAATGATTACATCGGCGTAAAACTTTGCGTGAATAATATGTTTAAAGTGTACCACCTTGTGACTAAAAATTGTCTAAATCGAACCAAAACTGTTCAAGCCCCTAGGTACTGAATAATACATGAAACTCTCGATAATAGTATGTTTTGTGTCAAAAATGAATTGAATCGGATTCCTTTAATATACTTGCAAAATGTTGCCAACACCTGAAGTAATTTCCCGGCTTTGATCCTTGCAAGTAGCGAGAGCATAAAATGTTCGGTTACACCCGAACATAGAACTTCCTTAGTTAATTTTTTTTTTTTTTTTTTTTTTGTAGAAAATACTGACACTATAATTTCAGTTTTCTCCATTTTTTGGTTCAAATATATTGTAAATGCATTAAAAACTCATCTTTGTGGCGCATTTAATACATTTTAAGCACTTGAAAATTTTGCACAACAAAAGCTGTGTAATGTGTGTTGTGTTTAATCAATTTGGCATCACTTCTGCGAGCATTATTTTCACATAAATATGTCCACGAGGCTTTTTAAACCCAGTTACACATTTTACACATGTCACCAAGTTAACTAATACGGTTTTTAAATAATTTTTTATAAAAATTAAATGGCTATGGCACATTTTTAATCCTTAAAAAAATATATATATATATTTGTATAAAAATGTATATAACTTCAATTTTTTGCATTATAGGGTGGGTTAAATTTATATTAAACTACTAAATTTGTATATTAAAATAATAAATTTACTGTAAATTAATATATAAATAGGTGGCTCTTCACTTGCATCAATATTTTTTTTTCATTGTTATACAAATAGTTTTCTAAAGTAATAAAAAACCAACTAATTTCGCAACTGTTTGTAAATGTTTACTTTGAGGTGCTATTTGTTGTTGTTTTTTTTTTTTTTTTTATTAAATAAGTTAGAATAATTGTGTTTCAAATTTTTGTATATGACGTATTCTCATATTTACTGTTCTGTGTCAGCTGAGTAACGGCAGCCACCTATGTATACATCTATTCAAAATAATTATTAATCAAACAAGAATGGTCTGCGCAAACGCCTAAAAAGCCTGCTAATGAAGTCATTTATAAATGCACTTGTAAATATGTATATGTAGTACCTAGCGGCATAACACAAGCTTCGTGCAGCATATCCTAGCACGCCTGGCACTCGCTACATTGCACGCTCTCTTTGTTCTCTGCCTAAAAACACTGATTTGTAACTGCTCTGCTGCTCTTCTACTCTCGCAAACTATCCTTTGGTAACGGCTGAAACTCTTACGCTGTGGTCTCTAAACGCTTACGCACAAAAATATCGCTGCAAACTGCTAACAATTTACGCAAAAAAGCTACGTGCATTTATTATGTAAACAAACAAAAAATTAAAATTTAAAAAAATACATACATACATACATACAAGTGTTTTACGCATACTGTCATTGTCTACTGTCTTTTTTCTTCTTCCATTACATTTGTCAAATTACTTGTTCGTACGTGTGTGCGCCCATTTGTCCTGTCAAAAAAATCGAAAATTAAAAAAAAATATAAAAAAAATGATAATTGACCCCTGGGGGTAATGCAGACGCTTAAAGAAATGTGTACAACTGCTGCCGCCGCTGCTGGTACTACTAACATATTCTCTGGCCAGCGCGCACTCCATCGCCAGTCACTCATAAATCATGGAATACTTAGCTCTTAGGCCAGCAAAAGTGGCGAAAGCACAAGTCCAGCAACCGAAATTGTTGCGCGAATTTTATTCTAAAAAAAAGATATTCGACTTCATCTCGCCAAAACGTCTTAAACAACCAGCTGCCGTCACATGCGCCTGCTCTCATTTTTTGACATTTTGGAGCATCGTTTTTTATTCATAAACCAAACGAACCGACAACGCACCGCAAAATCAAAATTTAACGCATAAATAATCGAAAAAAACAACAACAAATCAACTGGATAAACTAATTTCTAGACATTAGATTTATTTTAAATAATATTACTAATACTAAATTTTTAAAAAATTTATAGCATTTTGGCTTGTAAGAATTTGCGGATGCTGTTGCACTCGACTTGCTTTACATTTTGGTAGCAATTTATTATTTGTTATATTTTTATTTTGACTTTTGGAGACTTCTACAGTTTCATTGCACACAGACATAGAAAGTAGTTGCCACACTTTTCTCTTTTTAGTTGAAATTAAATGGATAACAAAAAATTGAAAGCGGGAAAAAAATTACTTAAAACAAAAGCACACAACTATCAGTATATTATAATATAAGGCTTTGAATGGTTAGCGCTGTTAGCAAAATGATTACGCACAAAATATTTGGAAATTATCAAAAGCAGCACTTGTTTGAGTAGTACTTATAAGCTTTGTATGTCGAAATATGCTTACAATTATTGTTCGTCGATTGGATGTAATTTGTCGTGATTTTCAAGAACATAATATATGTTTCTCGTTTCGATGAAATTTTTTGCGTATACAAATTGATAAAAATGTAGTATCTCTAAATATGCCTCCAATTAACGTTTGTCATTTCGATGAACATTTTTTCCGTATACAAACTGAACATTTATTTTTAAATAACGAAAAGCTCTTTAACAGGCGTCGTTGATTCGAGAAAATTGTTACGAAGTCATATCAATTTAAATGTAGACTCAAATTTGCTATTTCGGCTTTTAAAATCGCATATTGAACTTTTACTTGTATTTTTCATAGAATTTTATAGCAAACTTTGAATTCAAATTAACACAATTTTGATGGAAAAATGTTTACCTATGAAACATTTAGGAAGCACCACAATAAGTAGTCCTCATTACTCTTTTCCAAACAAATATATCTATAACTTGTTTTCCTAAGTGCGACGATTAGTTACATTCATGAAGAAACGAGTATAAAAATAAAAAGTTGAAAACTTCGCCTTTTCCGAATTTAGAAATGTCTAAAACACTTGATTCTTCAGGTTAGTCAATTCGATGAATTTTTTAAAAAGATAGTATTACACAACAAGATAAAGCTTTTTCGATTTAGAAAACCCTAAACTCTTGTTTTTCTATTAAAATACAAAAGTGAAAACTTCGTCTTTTCCGATGCAGAAATATACCCTAGGTTCTTTCGGCTCAACGATTCTATGAATTTTCCAAAAACTGCTATTACACAACTAAACCAACTATTATTTTCAATTTAGAAAAGTCTAAACTCTTATTTTCTTAAGTTTTTCAATTCGACGAATTCCATAAGAAAGTACTTAAATTTAATCCAATCACTAAAATACGAGTTCTAATAGTTACAAAGTATTATTTAGCTTTGGATTATATATAAAATATAATACATTTCATTAAAGAGTGTAAAAATATATATTTTATAGAAAGTTTATTGAAAAATTAAGATAAAACCAGGCCATAATTGAATTATTGTCAATCAAGGTTAACTTTAAAATCGAACCGAATTTTTCTAAACCTATACTAAGCAATCAAAAATAAGTTAAGTGTTTTGGAATTTAGAGGTTATGCTTCCATGAAAAAACAAAACAAAAATGAGGTTATGTTGCATAACCATAAATATCATCATCAAATAAATATTTTAAATTTTAAAAAGAGATTTCCTGACATCATTTAACTAACTTCTACATATTATACGATTTCAATCATCGCGTGGTTATTCTTTTTGAACAGTTAAAAGAATATGACACACCGGCTTTTTTCCACTGGATCGATAGCTTAGCTTAAAGTGCGCAAGTATGTACTTCAATGAATATAAGATGTCCAACAAAATATTTGACAAAATTTAGATTTTCAAAAAAGGTATTAAAAAAATGGTAAGAGATAAATTCTTAAAAATATTTTTATGGCAAAATTAATTATTTCCAATAGCAACAAATATAAATAAATATTTCTTAAATCGAATTGAATGCCAATAGAATTTTGTGCTAGTAAGTTTTAGGCTTTAGTTTCGATATCTAAATCTTAAAAATTTCTAAATTGAAATAAATAAAATTGTAGTACAGGGTTTTAGGTTGAATAAAAAGAAACTACTTATTTTTTATCATAAAACATACTACAAAAAACAAATAACAATAATTTATATTTAACAATCAATACGCGTACGGCAGCATCTGCAATTTCAATTTCATATCTACTAAGTTGTGTATTGTAAAACCTATACATACATACATACATACAAATATGGTAGTCTAACGTAAATACTTAATTTTTTTTATACTTAACACGAAATTCAATATTAATATGTAATATAATAAAATAAAGAAAAAATTAATTATCACCTCATAAATAATTTTTTTTTTTTTTTTGGTGATAGTCTGATGTAACTGAAATAATCTGTGTATTTCTTTTTAATTTTCAAAATAATAAAATTTTAATTTTTATAAAAATAAATGAAAGTGTCATAGCCATTTAAAATAATGATAAATCTTTTAATAATAAAATGAAAAAAAAAATTATAATTAAAAACGAAAACTATTTTTTAACTTGAAAAAACGCAAAATAAAATATTTATTTTCAAATAAAAAATATAATAAAAATTGTCATACCATTTCTTAGTTATTATTAATTATTAAGAATTATTTTTATTTTATTTTTAAATCTAAACTACGTATATGGTTTAACATTTTATTTTGAATTTTACTCAGGTAATGGTGCTAAATGTATCTTCATTGCTAAAGACTGTCAAGGCTGTTGAAGATGAACACACACGTGGAACACGCGCCATGGAGTCCACCGTCGAGGCCATTTCACAGGAAATACGCGTAAGTTTGATAACAAATAATAATGTCGATGAAAATATTATTAAAAAATGTTTCAAGAAAACGTATTTAAAAATTTTAATTACAAATAAAAAAATCATTAAAAAAATTAATTCTGTTGAAAAAAAAAACTATTTTTAAACAATAAAAAATTTTCAATAAAAATTATTATTTTCAATAATTATTATTTTTTTTTTCAATAAAATAAAATATTTTTCTCAATAACTTTTCAATAAAAAAATAGTTGAAAAAAAAAAATTTTTTATTGAAATTTTAAAATTTTTTTTTCAAAAATATTTTTTTTTATTGAAATGGTTAAATAAATTTTTTCTGTAAAATTTTTTTTTTGCAATTCTAAAATAAAACTTCTGGATTAAAAAAATAAAAATTTGTTCTCATTAAATTTTTTTCGAAATATTATATTTTCACTTATATCATTTCAAACATCACAAAAAAATTAAATTTAATTATTATTTCACAGGCCATTCACTCACCACCACCACCCAGCAGCGCCCACTGTGTCCCTGAAGACTTGATACGTGTCACCAAGAATGTGACACTGGCCACCGCAAAGGCCGTCGCTGCCGGTGCTTCCAATTTACAGACCGATATTGTCGCTGCCGCCAATTTGGGCCGTCGCGCCATCTCCGAAATGTTACTCATTTGCCGTTCGGTCGCATGGAATTGTGCCGAGACGGAAGATTTGCGTCAACGCACACTCGAAGCTGGTGCCTCTGTCGGCGAATCCTATCGTGAACTCTTGAATGGCATACTACACAATTGTTCGGCCGATGATCGTGTGCATCTGTCGCGTCGTGTAGCGAAGAGCGTAACCGATCTCGTGGCTATGGCGCGCCTACTAAAGGGTTCCGATTGGATTGATCCCGAAGATCCGACAGTGATTGCTGAAAATGAGCTGCTCGGTGCAGCAGCATCTATTGATGCGGCGGCCAAGAAGCTGGCGTCGCTACGTCCGCGACGTCAACCCGATGTAAAGGTGGGTGTTTTATATATATACTTGTTCTAATTAATATGTGCGCCCAAGTGGTGTTGGAAATAATTTTTAACAATCTAATGAAATGGTGTTGGAGTTTTCGTAACTAACTGTGCTTATTAAAAAAAAAATTTATACATTAAAATTTTATTGAAAAGTAATTTAAGAAAATTAACTGCGAATTTCACTAAAACGAAAAGCTAAATTATTAATGGTGTGTGGTTTCATAATGTGTGTCTGCCCTAAACTGCTACTAAACGCTAATAGTTCCAGTCAGATATGTTTGATATTCTTGGTTGTTACATATAAAGGTTCACCCAGGAATCAAACATATTATTACTGCGATTATTAATATGCTACTAAACAATATTTTGTAATGGAAAAGGTTTTCAATGCACTCAACAATTTGAAAATTACATAAAAAAATAATATAACAATATAACCTCAAAACACTTGCTCTGCAAAACATATAAACTAAACGACTTTGCTCTTTCAGATCGAGTTGGACGAGAACATGAAGTTCGACGAAATGATTTTGGAGGCCGCCAAAGGCATTATGGCCGCCTCGTCGGCTTTGGTACGCGCTGCAAATGCGGCACAACGCGAACTCATCGATCAAGGTAAAGTGGCACGTCGTCCGCTCACCTCCTCCGATGACGGGCAATGGTCTGAGGGTCTCATATCGGCGGCGCGTCTTGTGGCTGCCGCCACGCACAGCTTGGTTGAGGCCGCACAGAATTTGGTGCGCGGCGTAGGCACCGAAGAAATGCTCATATCCACCGCCAAGCAAGTGGCTGCTTCAACGGCACAATTGCTCATTGCTTGCAAAGTGAAATCGAATCCGACTTCAGAAGCTGGACGCCGTTTACAAGCCGCAGGCAATCAAGTTATCAAGTCTACGGAGAATTTGGTGCGCGCCGCACAACAGGGGCTGGAGGATGAGGAGGAGAAGACATTGAAAATCAACACCTCAATGGTGGATGGCATGGCGCAGGAGATTAATGCGCGCTCCGATGTGCTGCGCAAAGAGAAAGAGTTGGAGGAGGCGCGCCAGAATTTCTACAAAATTAGGCATGCGCTTGCGATGCAGAAGAAGGCACAAGGTTTTGCGACAGATGAAAGTGATTCTGAGTATCTGCACTCCACTTACGGCACATTGCAGAAGAGCCAAAATAATGTATGTATGCGCTTGTAATTGTTTTTATTTTTATTGTTGTTTTTCGATTTTTATTTTGTTGTTGCACATTTTAATTGATGTATTGTAGCTTTGCATTGAGGAAGAACAGCTCGTTCAATGAGTGGCCAACACACTGCCGAAATTTTTATATAAACGAAAAGAAAAACGAACTGCATGTTTGTTGTTTTGTAAATTACAACAAAAAAATTACAAAAATAAAATAAAAAGTAAACTAAATTGGCAACAATTGGAACAATTGGTGTTGAGAGAAATAAGTGTGTTGCTCGCTGTGGATAAAATCATTTTTCTTTTTAGTATATTATAGTATGTAATGTAGACTAACGGCACTTATGGTTTGTTAATACAAAAAAAAAAAACAACAATGATTGCACTTACATCCAACACTAATATTCGTTCTAACCAAAAATAATAACGTCCAACATCCTAACATTTTCACTTCATTCACATCTAACCTTTAGACATTAAACCGTTCGGCGGGCTACCCCTCGGATGTACCCACCTCGCCGAGCTATTACAGCCAACAACAACTACAGCAGCAGGCAAAACATCATTACAACTATGCGACACACCCGCAACATTTCCATCATCCCGCCGCCGTGTCGCCACCGCCACCACCGATGAACTATCAATATGCCAGCGCTGGTGATTTGAATGGTGGCATCGAGCTACCACCGCCGCCGCCACCACTCTCCACCACACTTTACAACATGCAGGCAGCCACCGCAGCCGGCAGTGGTGGCAGTACTTTTCGACCTAACCCAAAACTAACAGCCAACGCCGTGCCACGTCCCTATCCGGGTAGTCCCACCGCAGGTGGCGCTGGTGGCAGTTTATTAGGTACTAACAGCGGTGTTAGCGGTGCTAAACTCACACAATCACCTACTTCTAAAGCGAATGTTAGTAATTATAATCAACAACAACAACAAAAATCTTTTGAAAATATCACCACCGCTACAACAACAATCGCTGGCAATGCTGCTCATCAACCACAATTACCACAACAGAAGTCATCGCCGGCGGTTAATCACAAATTGGAAGCTTGTGTACAAGATTTGCATGACAAGACGTTCGGTCAGGGCGGTGTGGTGCAGATTACCGGTGCGGGCGCATATCCAGGTCAAAACTATGAGGGCTATACCTCGAGGTGAGTGCAGGGAAAGTGATAGCGCATTGATTGCAGCAATCTGAAACTATTTGAATTTTTTCTTATTTGAGGCTATGTTGAGAATTTTCGTTTGATATCACATTTGGCAGTAGAATTGTAGAATTTTTTACCACGCTCTACAAAATTTAAAAATATATATTATATATGAGATGTAGTAATGTATAATTCTAGGGATGTAGGTTATTTTTATACACTGAACAGGGTATATTAAGTTTGTCACGATGTTTGTAACACCTAAAAGGAAACGCCGGAGACCCTATAAAATATATATATGATCAGCATGGCGAGCTGAGTCGATTTAGCCATGCCTGTCTGTCTGTATAACCGGGAACTAGTAACTCAGTTTTTGAGATATCGCTCTGAATTTGCGCACACTTCCTTTTCTCTCCAAGTAGCTGCTCATTTGTCGGGACTGCCGTTATCGGACCACTATAGCATATAGCTTCAATATAAACCGAACGAACAAATACATATGTATTTGTATGGAGAATTTTTGCATTTGACGAGATATCTTCATGAAATATAGCTGCCATACAAACTGAACGATCATCGTCGATGAAAAACTTGGAAAACTATTTTATTTGACAAGATCTCTTCTTCGGATCGGACCACTATAGCATACAGCTGCCAAACAAGTTGATCGATCAAAATCATGATAAAGATCTTTTTATACACTCTTACGCAACAAAAAAAAATGAAACTGTTGAGGGTATTATAGCTTCGGTGCAGCCGAAGTTAACGTTTTTTCTTGTTTTTTTCCCCCAATTTTGGTATTTATTTAGAGTATTAGTGTATACTAATGACTCCATATTTTCAGATATGAAACGCGCAATTTCGAGAAGAGCAATGAAACGGTGGAAAAACCATTGGACTCCAACTTCTCACAATTAACGCTCAGCACTGACGGCGGCAAAGTCAGTATCATTGATCAAGGTTCCGAGCGTTTGACGTCTATGACACAGCGCGTAATGGAACGCAAAACATTTAGCACCACAACCGAGACGCGTTCGGAAAAGAAAACCGAGTCGCATAGTTTTCGCATGGAGTAGATTTAAATAAGTTTTAGATGCGAATGAATACACACAAAAGCAAATAAGCAAAAAACAACAAAAAAATAATAATAAAAATTAAATAATATTTATAATAAAAATAATCATAATAAAAAATTAAAATAATAATAATAAAAATAAAATAATATTTATATAAAAATTAACAAATAATTATATTAAAAAAAAAAATAATAATTATAATAATAAAAGTTTATAAAAAAAATATTGGAAAAATTGCATAAAATGAACAATGTAAATGTGTAACTGTAAAATATGGCAAACATGTTGGTGCTATTAATCTAACTGTTGTGGTGATATCTCATTAACAACCTAACGGTTTGCCACAAAGTTTGCTTACGAGAAATGCCACTTCGCCAAAATAACTACCGTTTTGTAGGCGCTTAAGAAATTTTGCCAAAAGTGCTTTTAACTGTACTAATTTATAATTATAATATTAATAATAATAAACTACTTGTAATAATAATAATGCATTGATATTTAGATATTAGTAAATAATAATAGAGTTTTGATATGTTTATTGTTTTGAAAAAAAAAAAAATATTATATAAATTGCCGCCAAACAAAAACAAAACAAAAAAAATGGTGTGAAAACAGTTGAAAATGCAACTACTCACCGTTTTGCTCACCAAATTGTGCCGTTATATTGTAATTTTTGTGTTATTCTTTTGCCGCATTGTGTAACTGTGTATTCCTTCTCCAGCGTTTTTTTTTTGTTGTCTTTTTTACGTGATAATGAAAAGTTTAATACAACGATCTGCAGTCCATACGAAAATGATATTTTTGTTTGCCAACATGTTGCCTGTAAATGCATAATATTTAAATTATTTACATATATGTTATAACACAATTAACTGTATTAATATAATTTAGAGCGCATTTGTAAGCAAAAAGTTGCACCACTTACCGCAAAAAATATCAAACATTTTACAATAAACCATGTATATTTAATTAAACGAAAACAAAATGTAAAAAAAAAATTATAAATATACTATGTTCTATGCTTTATATTGTATTTCGTTTATTGTCTAACGCCACTTGTGTCTCTTTTGTACGTGATTAATGTTTTTAAAGTTTATTTGGACATCTCGAATGGAAATATTTATATGTATGCATTTGTATTTTTGTTCACTCTCGCTAAATGCTATACGAAATATAGATTAGACTTATTTGTACATACAGACGTATATATATACATTTTTTTTTTGTTTTTTGGCTTGCACTTATGCGCATATAAACTAAAAATATGTTAAAAAATTTGTGTTTTCATGTGTAATTGTTTTTTTATTATTATCTGTACAATGAAATTAAATTAAATAAAAATAAGTATTAATAACTGAGTTGGAGAGTTTTGTGGACTTTTTTCTTACTTTGTAGTAATATACCATATTTAACACTATGCACCGTTATTGTCATAAAAATAAATGGTGTTTTAGAATTTCTTAGTTTTAAGAGAATATATTTTCGAAATTGCTCATTTTCGAATTGGGATTTCTCAAAAGGCCAAATTTGAATTCAAGTACCATGTAAAAAAAATACATGTGATAGCAACAACAAAGTAATATAGTTGCATTCTATGCAAGACAGTAGGTGAAAGTCACATTAAACTGTTATAACCGATGTCCGTTCCCGGATTTTTATCCGTTCAAGGACTGTCAAATCGGCACCATTCCTCGAAATTACGTCAGAAATGTTTTCTGTCGCTAATACAATAACAACAACATTATTAATCTATCCGTTTCCGCGACAGTCGGGTCCAAGGACTGTCAACTCGGCAGAATTCTGTCGCCACAACAACAATAACAACATTATTATTTTATTTCTACTCGATTATACCAATCTTTCTGTTTTATACCAGTTGTTTGTTCGATTCGCCACTCTCAAAGTGCAAAATAGAATAAGTCATATATTACATTCACAGCCCATTTCTGGTTTCGACGTGTTCGAAATTAGATATTTTAAAAGCGACTGAAATAACATTAGGAGAAGAGCGAAAATTTGTTCGAAGTCGGTTTTTTGTCTCGTAAAGAGTGATATCGACTCAAAATAAAGTCAAAACTAATATTTAACCAAATAATTTCAGCAAGCTCATTCAGTAGACCATCGAACATCGAACATTTTTCGACTTCATTTCAGTTACCAAAAAATTATCTAAGCATATCGAAATACGGAGTATTCAAAATAGTAAATTTCGAAAATTAACTGTAACAGAAATCGGTAGACCAAAAATCCATATTTTGATTTGCGGTCGATCTGCGACATTGGTTCAAAGTATTAAACCAATATATTATGATTTGAGTGAGCTTTGTGAATTTAAAATATACAAACTTAGTTTCGCATGTGAAAATTTCTTAAAAATTGTGACCAAAAAGCAAAAACCTAACGAAAAAAACTCCAATTTTCAGTAATGTTTTAATCCTTCATCTACAGAATCGAAAACCAAATGTTGTTTTTAACTTAATTTTTAGAATTTAGTTTTCGATTTTCGAACATCATCAAAGTCAAACCAAATATCGAAAATCGTTCATTATACTTAACCGTTTCATTCATTTTCAATTTATGAAGAAATGTTGCTATTGTCATATTTTAAGAAAATATATTTACAAGAAAATATTACGATTTCGTACACTTTTTAAAAATTCCTAAAAATTATTAGGTTAAAATGAGTTTAGATAGACATTATATTAACAACATTGTAACGTTATTTTTTTGATTTACATTTTTTTCTTACTGCTTGACCACTACGTGTATTATCTATTCTGAAAGTGTTTCGAAAAATTAAAAAAATATCGGAGACCCTATAAAATATAAATATAAACGTTCAGCGCGACGAGCAGAGTCGATTTAACCATGCCCGTCTGTATATACGCGAACTAGTCGCAGTTCTTCAAAATTTTCGAAATGGGTAAAATTCCTATTTGGAGTTGTTATACCGATTTTCAACAAAACAAAAACTTATTCTACTTTGTAAAATGAAATAACATTGTTTATTAAAAGTAAAATATATATGTATGCATATTTATGTATAAGAATATATGTTTATTGGAGAGTACATTATTTACACATACATATAGCTGTACACAGGTACAAAAATAAATGCAACAAATAGTCTATTCGTTAATGTATATAATAGATAAGTTTTCTAAAAGGCACAAATCACAATCACAATCTCATCGCAACGTTTACTTGTATTCCTGATTCAACTGGCGACCGATCAACCAACGACGAATCTCCGAAGTGCCAGCACCGATCTCATACAATTTAGCATCACGCATTATGCGACCAGTCGGATAGTCATTGATATAACCATTACCACCAAGTATTTGTATGGCATCTAACGCCACTTGTGTGGCCTTCTCAGCACAATACAAAATGACACCAGCACAATCTTTGGAACTGCGCTCACCACAATCGGCGGAACGCGCCACAGCATACAAATACGAACGACAAGCGCTCAAAGTGGTATACATGTCAGCCATTTTGCCTTGCATCAGCTGGAATTCACCGATGAGTTGACCCTTTTGCATGCGTTGATGCGCATAGTCGAATGAGACATCAATGGCGGCTTGCATCAGACCCACCGGACCGGCGGCCAACACCAGACGCTCATAATCCAAACCGGACATCAAAACATAGACACCCTTATTCTTCTCGCCCAATATATTCTTAGCCGGCACTTTGAGGTCTTGGAACACCAATTCGCATGTGCTGCTGCCACGCATGCCCAATTTATCGAGCTTCTGCGCCACACTGAAACCCTCCCACGCTGTCTCTATGATAAACGCCGTTATCGCATGCTTGTCCGCGCAACCGCTACCAGTCTTGGCGTACACAATCAATGTGTCTGCATCCGAGCCATTGGTAATCCAGAATTTACTGCCATTGAGCACATAGTAGTCATCCTTTTTCTCAGCGCGCAACTTCATCGACACCACATCAGAGCCGGAACCTGGCTCGGACATGGCCAAACCACCGATATGCTCACCACTGCACAGTTTCGGCAGGTATTTCTCCTTCTGTTCGTTGGTGCCGTTTTTCGTGAGCTGATTGATGCAGAGATTGGAGTGCGCACCGTAGGAGAGCGCAACGCCGCCAGCAGCTCTGTAGCGTTGAAAATATGCGATTATTTATGCAGGTACTTAAGCGCGTATGTAATACTGCGCACTTACCTAGAAATCTCCTCCATGATAATGCAATGATCCAGGTAGGTGCCACCAGTGCCTCCGAAATCCGGCTCGGCTGTTATGCCTAGGAAGCCCAGTTCGCCCATCTTCTGCCAAAATGTGCGCAGATCTCTGTGTGCAAGAGGTCAAAGTACATTTCCACTTATTAAACACTATATTCACCTTTTTGTTTGAATAAAAAAAAGAAACTCACCTGAAGTTGTCATTCTGGTCGATTGCCTTGGCATACGGTGCCAATTCTTTTTGAAAGAAATTGAAAGCGATCTCACGCAACTTCTGTTGTTCCTCATTCAAACCATAAAATTTATCATTGACGGGATAGTGTGCCGCACCTCTGGCCTGTTGTGGTACGCCTGCCGCAAAACAACGTGGCAACAAGTTGGAGAGGGATTTTGTAAAGAAACGAAAACTTACGGACATATTAACCGGGTACAAAGAAAATACTAACAGGCACTGTGGGAGGGTAGAAAAGATTGATTCGGCAATTCACTTCCAACGAGCACAAAATATAGAACACCTTTAATAAACAACAGCTGTTTTGATTACATAAACACACGTTTACTATCGGTGCGTCGTTGCCAGATGATTACTTAGAGTTTTGAGAATAGCGGCAATTTCGTTGAAATTTTTAATTAGAAAAATTTTGTATTTATTTATGTATTTTACTTTTTGAATATCAAAAAAAAAATTGTAATAACTTTTTTTTTTAACAAAATGTTTGATATTGTCAAAACTCCAAGCTGATTGCGATAATTTAAATGAAATTTTTAATTCAAAAAATTTGAAATTTATTTTTTATATTTTTTTAATATTCAGAAAAATTGTAATACATATTTTAACGAAATTTTTGATATGAAAAGCAAAATTAATATATCTGTGCATATCGGTAATATAAAATATATGTATATATTTCATGCGATTATAAACTTTTTGCGTTCACCACGTGTATCAAATGTACAAACGAAGCAACAAAACAAGTTTCTATGATTGCGCTATTTTGTGAATTCAAAATTGAAAGAGAGTAAGCGCTCTGCATTATAAGATCGTGGAGCTATCACTCTCTTTTATTTTGGAGTCTTGTCAGTTGAATGCACCGAAGATTGAGCCTTCAGAAATAAAAAAAGTTTTAATATAAGAACTGATTTTCATCGGCAAACTTAACATACCCTGTTCGGGGTATAACAATACGAAATACTTGACACTTAGAACTGTATTCCACATTTTGGAGAGCAAATTTTGAGATAATCCCAAGTTTATATCCAGCCAAAAATTATTGACACTTTTTGGAAGACAAGCTGTTTGATCCAAATTCATTTTGTGGCCTAAAATTGGTTAGAAGTGACCGTTTTTGAAATTCTTGCAATTACTATTTTGCCTTTACTCCAATCAACTTTAGCATAATAAGTAATAATAAACCTTCGAAGAACCTTCAATTAATATATCTAACTGTTGTCTTATTACTATCTGCTCTGAAAATGAGTGTTGGCTGGACTGCCCTCAAGAATGTTCGCCCTCATTAGCGGTTTTGATTCGGAAAGCTAATTAACATCCACATAAAACTAAAAATCTCGCTTTTGTGAGACGAGGGTCAAAATTACTTAACTGTCACTCAGATAATCATCCAGGTAGAAAAGCTGTAAATGATATCATCGCCAGGTTTAATATATTTTTAGGACCTTTTATTTAAAAATACAGAGAAAGTGTTTAAGTGTGATTTCCCAATTAGTAATGCGCCTCAAATAACGTAATTTCGAACCGAAGGAAAATTCCCTATTATATTACATTCGAAATGATTAATTAATAAGAAGCCAGCAGATGGCGGGAAGTCATAGAAATTAAATGTTGAAACACTGAACTCTACAACCGATTTATATTAGAAGCATGCCAACTCTTCTTTCTAGAATATGTAGACTTAATCTTAGTAGACCTGATATGTAACAATGAGATGATACTTATGAAGAGACCTGTTGTAAAATACATGGAAAATATGTGATACGAG